AAGTAGTATTTATACGGTTTAGCAATCTTATTATTTGTATAATACTCTAAAAATTTTAATTCGTTGCAGGCATGGCATTATTGTGTTTCGGATAGAAGAACGAGACATAGACTTCCAGCGAGAACTACGGTAATGTTAGACTGTAGTGATTTTCCTTTTGGCTAATGTCAAAATCTCTAATGTTATAATTGATTATTAGTTTGAATTCGGCACTATTGACGGGAATGGAAATCCTTTAGCTTTTACGCAAGGTGCACTTGTCATAAATATTTCATTAAGCTGTCTATATCATGATGTGCGTCCTTCCATCACAATTCCTCCAAATCTTCCCGATCCTATCCCAATCGATTTCTTTTATATTCAACGTGCAATAATAAGAGCGCTTAGTTAGAAAACCATAGATAAAACTTCACTTTTTTTATTGTAATAAAGTTTTACATTTTATATGCTTGATGTATTGTGCTAATTCTGAACCGTCAAAATTCTGTTGTAATTTGTGGGCGATGCATGATTTTATAAGAATTACGAGCACAAATGCGTAGTAAGGATTATAAAGGCTTTGAATTTTTAGCAATACGTATGTATGTATGTATCAAAAAAAAAATATATCGTCGCACTATGTAAAAATTATGAGTCATCGTTATTTTTTTCTCCGTTATAATGCACGAAAGCGAAAAGACCTTATCTAATGCATCATAATCCCATCCATCACACATGTCATCCTTATAATTACCTTCATCTTATTACACAATTGTACCCTCATCATCTGGCCCATTTTTCGGTATGGGCTCGTCTATCCAATTCAGCGAACTCAGGATCAATATTCAGGGTGCTATACGTATTACTCATCACTCATCATTTCATTTGTATGATAGTCGGTATGACTGCGGGCAAATTTGGGTTGGCGTGGATTCCTTGCTAATGTCTGCTACCATAAATCGACACGATATTTTTTAACCTACGTGTATGTATCGGGTACAGGAAGCTTCTCATCGAAGATGATATACTTATGATATAGTCGGTTATTTTCTTTAGTATAATAAAGTTTTCGAATAAAGTTTGTCCGCGTTTAAGGCTTGTGTTTTTAACTCGTCTATTAATAATGTTTACTTTATTGCATGTATATCAATGTGTACTAATTCATAAATCGAAATTTGAATAAATCTATGCCTTATACTGTATAAAAAATACGGAAGACAGGCTATGGAAGAGAACACTGGACTCAAGAGCAGAATAGATGAGTTGGAGAAAAATAGGACAGATATTGTTGTCGAGAACGCTGAACTTAGAGCTAGAGTTGTGAAATTAGAACGGGATATAGATGAACTTAAAAAAGAATTAGATCTAAGAAAAATCGTAAATTTCAGGAAAAATGCATTCTAATAGCCCAGATACTTCTTAATGAGGAGCCTATGGTTGAATATCGACCATCTTTTATGGAAGGATTAGAAATTGATGCCTTTTTCCGACATCATCGAATTGCATTGGAGGTCCAATCAATTATTGTTTATACTGGATAATATATATACAATATATATACAGTACGAGCAATTTTTTATATAAATAGCAATGCCTGAACTCGAGAAACTTTACTTCCCATACTCTAATACACAAACTGCACTTTCTCTGAAAGATTTACCATACTACAAAAATAGCCACTCTGTGACTGCCTTTGGTATTACATATACTCTGAACCCATCCCACCCAACACATACAAAATTTACTACTCGGCATAAGCCAGTATGTCACCTTGTATCAGCTCCACCGAAATACCGAAAATACAATATAAGCTAATGCTGAAAACTCAATATATCAACCTATATGAGTTACAGACTTGTTTCTAAATAGTCCGATCGCATTAGTAACGTATTATCCGAAACTCTTCACAACTCTAAAGAGATATGCCCTATATTTTTCGGTATGGGAACAAAACCTATAAACTCCATACTATGTATAACTATATCAAGTTTTATAATTTCCACAGTAATTTGCTGTTTTATAATTTGTGGTTCTTGGATCATAAATAAACACGATATCATAATATGGAAAACAATTTTGAGCTTTCATTAAAAAATGACCCAAGAATCCAATCACACAAAAATTGAATCATGTATTCGTAATGTATAAAGTTATTAAATCTAATAGGTCTAAACCCTTAAATTCGATATAATCACATAGTCTCTAAAAACACTATAAATAGGTCATAAAATGAGTAATTTCAGCAGTTTAATAGCTCATGGTGGTTCTAAATGCTCGAACGATGAATGGGATGAATATGTGGAGTTGCCTCAAGTTCGTGATAATGAAACTCCTAGTGAGTGGATGAAACGGATTTGGGAACGTCTTACATATTTTAGAGAAAATGATCTCTTACCTTATAATAGCAAAAAATACTTTGAAGCTAGGAGATTAATACGATTGCCGAATGGCGCTTCATATGCTCCTGAAATCGGAATAGCAATATGTTTCTCTTGTGATCAGTTAGTATATACTGGACAAAAAAAGAAGAATATAGGAAATTATAACCATATAGGAATGGAGAGACATTGGAAATTTTCATGTACCGGTAATAAATACTGTGGTGTAAATTATGAAGAGTATTTGAAAATTAAACAAAAATCTAATTCCAGCTATGATTATGACAATAAGTATGCATTACATCGTTATGAGTTATGGAAATGCAATGCGATTAAAAGACTTAAACGTGCAAGGGAAGTCGGAAGAAAGATTCAAGCATATATTAAAATTCAGAGGAAAGTCGTAGAATAGATTTATTGCCTTGATGGTTTAACTGCTCAAGAACTTGCCTTACATTATGTATGTCTACAAAACATTGGAGCAGAAATGCATCAAATTAACAATGTATAGATTTTTAATATCGATAAAATGATTTATTACTTGCATTAATATAACAACATATAACTTATTTATTTAATTAGTAATAACTTATCTATTTATCTGCTTTATATATTTTTTCATGTTAATTGCTTTTATGGAACACAAAAATTCCCATTATGGATGATGTAGTAAGTTTGTTTTTTATATCTACTCTAACTACAAATCGGCAGGATTCGATCAGCTCTTAAAATAGAGTGGCAGATAAGATATACTTTATTATTATATTAATAAATAATGGAAAAAAATACTTATCTGATCGTTATACTTTAATAACTAGCCCATTGGGTCTTTTGTTTTTTAACTATGTAATTGGCCATGTGTATGTGCTGGCATTAAGTATCGAAAAATAAAGTTATTAAAATTGCTAATATTGAATATCGATGTGCATATATTGGTTCGACGAATATCAATTTTCTCGACCTTTTTCAGATCCAGAATTCATGGATTCAGCCGACGATGTATTTTTTGTCTTGTGTTTTTGTCTTAACCCAATTTCCTTCTGCAAATCTAATGGAGTATCGAATCTTAATCTAATTGCAAGCAGATCATCCTCAGGCCTATCTAGATCAAATACAATAAATTCACCTTTGCGGAGATAGGTGTTAATAACCATTGAAGCATTTTTTACATCATCTGTGTATCGTCGAATAATTTTAGAAATGTCTTCATGTGAGCTACCAGAGTTAAAGATTACCAAGTGAGAGGCGTTTTCACGCATAAATGTAGTGATTTCTGTGCTACGTACTGTATATGCTTGAAATATTCCGATGTCGCCCATTCCCAAAAAATTGGCCAATTCGATTCTGTATATTCTCTGGAGCGAGACATAAATCCTCAAAAATAATTGCTGTACTTCTCTTAGACGAAAATGCTCTTGTACTAGGAATTTTTTCAGGTGAGATGTAGCTGAAACTAATATCTTCATAGTAAGGCGCTTTTGGATCTTTTGAAATTATGCCATACATATACCTTACAAATGCCCATTTTGGCTCATCAGGATGGTAACCACATACTATTAAATCATCGCATGAAATATATCGTGACCCACCTTTTTTACCTTTGTATATATATTCAGCTTTATTGCCGAGAAAAAGATTCGCCAAGATATTAGTCTTACCTGATCCACTTTTCCCCGTAACTATCATTTTAAATGGCCATTATGGGCTGGCAGGATGGGACTGAATTCGGGATGATTCATGCTTTGTGGTTTCATCCATATCCATAAGGTAAAGTTTCATTTTCTGCATGTTTATTTCTATGAAAAGGTAATATATATTTCTTAATAATTTGTGGCGAATTTTTGTTCGCATTTAAGGTTAGACCCTCATTATGTTCTGATTTGTGTTTGTATAAAAAAAGCCTATATAGAATCCATATAATAAATATCACTATTATGACAAAGATGCCTAGCTTGATAATTGGAGATGTTTGATACTCATTGTTAACGAGAGATTTGCCAGCACCTAATGCCCCTCCTATTATAATATCTTGAATTGAAGGCTCGGGTTTTGCTTATTTGCAATAATTGGTATTGTTTCGTTTTTTCTTATTACTAGATCATTGTTTACATTGGATATATCATTAGTTGAAGACTCCTGGCTAGTTTGAGAAGTATCCATTTTTTCTGCCTGTTCTATTTTCTTTTTACTTACAAGATACTTCGTGAGACTTTTTGATTCAGATATGTCTCCAGAATTTGATATATTTTTTATTGCGGAAACAATAGGGCTCTGCCTTTCATCACCTCCATTAATTATTGCAGAGACAAAGGGTCTACAGATTCTGATATAACCTGTGATTTCAGATGTTTCAATTCAGCTTCAACATGTTCCAATTCAGTTATTTTAGATTTGAGGGACAAGTTCTCAGAGTCTTTTTTTGATAAGTCTTTCAGAATCGAAAATGTGTCTTTCTGAGCTGAAGTTAGCTTACCTTCCATTATCTTAATTATAGATTGAAGTGATATATTTCTTTTGATTTTATAGTATTCTCGGTTTCGGATTTAGCAAGAGAAATATCTTTGCGAGTAATTTGAGAGGTTAGATTATTCAACTTTGTACATAATTTCTCGATCTTATTTGTAAGTTGGTGGATATGCTTGATAAGTTTCTCTTTATCTTTATTAGATTGTTTTAGATTTTGTTGTATATGTTTATTGTCTTTATCCAAGATAGTGTATTTATTGGAAAGTCGCTTCCCATATTTTATAGCAATTTCAAGTTCTATTCGACTGGGTGGATATCTATTGGATGGCATGTTTCCAAGTTTTTTGCCTTCATCTATATCTGACAATGTATGAATCCGAGGCATATCTCAGTTAAGTAAATGTAAATATAGATTGTTAAAAAATTAATACCTGCACAGGAAAATCAATAGATATTGGTATCTTTACATATGAAGTTTATTAATATGCTTCATTTTTATTTTTTAAGAATCAATACGTATTAAAAATTTATATCTTATGTATTGACGTGTTTTAATATATATTGATATCTGTCAAAAGGAAACAATACATATTGATACCTACCAAAAAGAAACAATACATATCAATATATACTGACATTATAGTAACAGCAATATGTTTTGAAAAAATATCGATACTTTTTTTATAAAATATTATAACTTAAAATGATCACCCACCTCCATCATACTTCTATCAATCCAATGCAATCCAATTATCAGAGTCTGATATTAAGGAGATTAGAGATTCAAGAGGAAAAATACCAAATGCATCGAAAAAATGGCAGAAAAATTTCATATTGGTGCCCATTATGTATATGAAATATGGGAACATAATGAACGTCTCCAACAAGGTCTTGATGATCAAAATGATCCCTCACCATCACCTGGTTCAAATGAAGATCTCACATTAGATAAGTCTCAGACTAAAGAGATTCTAGCTAAAGAAATATTGACAAAAAAGATTAACTGAAAAAGAAAGTTAGTATAAATAAGATAAAACATGAAAGATACTGAAAGATTAGTTCCTATGCTTACATCTTTGTCTCAGTAAGCTGAGAATATCTTTCTACAAGAACTTTACCTGCTTTTAAAGCCATATCAAGCTATTCTTCAGTCTTTATAAGTCACTTTTCAAGTTCATTGCATTTTTTTTAAGTCTTCCTTATTAGTTGAACTAGATAAAATCTTGCTGAATGTTGGAATAATATAAGACTTACCATGTAATTTCATTTGGAATTGGTTTTTATTTGGATTAAGAATACCTTGAACTTTTTAAATTCATATTATATCTAAATATAACATTGGTTCAGGTTCACCATTATCAATATGTATAAAATTTTCAGTAGCTGTAACTGTTTTACCATTCTTATCCTTTATACTGAATGACATACACTAGTCAAAATTTGGTCATTCGGCATGTCGAATTATTAAATTTTTTATAATTAAATTTAAGCCGAATTTATGCCGTTTGGTGCCACTCGGCATAAAAATCAATATAGATATT